CCCCGCGGGCCAGAGTCGGGAAGTTGGGAAGAAACTTCTCCCCTCCCCCGGCTCGCCCGGCGGGCTCGTCTCGTTCCCCGCGCTACCTGCTCGCCCCTGACTCGGTCTCTGCCCCGTTCAGTCCTGCCGGGTCCCGCCCAAATCCGACCTGAGGTCCCAGGGGCGTGGGGACACGCTCCACCGCTTGTCTTTGGGGTCGTGTGGACAGCCCGGCGGCGTGGAGGCGAGGTTTATTTTTGCCCACACGGTCGAAGTGGGGGCGAGGGAAGCGGTCCCTTTTCGGTCCTAAAGGCTGGGGGTCTGTGTGTCGGCCGACGCCGGTAGCAGCTGTGCGGGGAGAGGAGAGGGTGTGTGGGGCGAGTGGGTGAGCCTCTTGGGCTTTACTTGGTTTGATTGAAAACCGCAACATGTTTAAAGTTTTCCTTTGTTTTGGATTGGGGGTTGGGAAATTTACCATTCAGCGTCCACTTTTTCATGCCACTCCGCCTCCCGTTGCGTTCGGTTCCCTGTCCACATGTGTTAAAGAAAATTTTGTCTTAAAGTGTGTTTTTCTTCTTGATAATTGCTTCCAGCTTTCACTTTATTGGGCATGGAGCAGAGTTTTAAGAAGCTCTTTGAAAATCAAGTCTGGTGTAGGGACTTTAGTTTTTGTTTTGTAGTGAGTAGGACTTAACAGTTCGGATTTGGTTGAATTATTTTCTGCATAATTAATTGATATAGGCGTGGAATAACATACGGTCTAATTTGTACATTATTAAAGGAAATAATGAAAGTCTGGTGGAAGCACAATTTTATGTCCATACCATTTATTATGTATATACGTTCCACGGATGTGTGTTTTCACATAGTTGATTTCACGTATATATAATATGATTATAGTATCTTCATGTATTATAATTGTAAGATTAGTACCAAAGATGTCTTGATAATTTTAAATGTGTTTAAACCATCCTGTTAAATTTCTACAGTTAAATAACTCACTAAGGAAAATATTAAATGTATACACATGACTACATTTAAGGAAAAGTGCATGGTAAATCTAATATCTTAACTGTCACAGTGCTTGGCACACGGTGGACAGGAAGCATTTTGGTCAGATAATAAAGGAGTATCTTGTATTAACCAAGGATCTTGTATGCATCACTTACGATTTTCATATATTGTACAGTAAGGAAGTTTTACTTTAGCAAATAATATATATGGTTTTGTTGTTTTTGTTTGCTTATAAATGTGAGACCTCTGCCACAATTGACATGTAAGAAAAGGAAGTTAAATTGTATTTTAATTTTTGGACATTAGCTAAAAGTCGGTGGAGATTTTAAATGCTGGTTGACGTTTCAGTGGGTCCTACATTTGAAATAGACAATTGCCTTTGATCTGAAAACAAAACAGTTTATATCCATGTTTCCAGAATAAAAGATAAAAGGGCTCTTAAAATATATACTCTGTTGTAACCACCGTAATGTTATAATAGCTTTAATTTCACAGTTAGGTTTTGCTGACTTCATAAACCACAAAATTGATTCCTTTCTGTTCATCTGAAAGTGAAATTACAGCTTTGACCTGTCTTCCTGGGTTAGGTGGAATTTGTCTTATGGTCGAAGTATATAATATTAATACATGGGCTGTTTTTGTGTGTGTGTTTTAGTTCAGGAAATTCACAAGCTGAAAAATTGTTTATGCAAGTAGAATTCCTTCATGGTATGTATTGATAAAAGTATAAATGTGCTAAAAGACTAGAAGTAAACCTGTATAAGTGAAGTACTACCAACCGATGGTGTAAGACTTATTCAAAGTTGAAATTTGCATCATGTTAGACAGTAAATAATTTATTACTATGGGTAGTTTTTCTTTACAACATCAGTGTAGGCATCAGTTATTAATTCTATTAGCATTATAGTAAGAAAGAAGACTAACGCCAAAAAAATTTAAGTGATGCTAAACTCTGGTGTCGCCCAAACTTGGGTAATTAAAAAAGAAAAAACCTGCAAGGAAATTTCTGTGAAAGCAAAAATAGAAGCATAGAATACCTGTGGTTCTATGAAAGGAAATATATGAGAAGAGGGAGGAGATTGTGATAGGGACCTGACTTCTGAAGTGGTGACAAAGTTCTTTTAACCTGATAGGAGTTACCAACGGTATTGGTTTTAGTGTAATTCATTAAGCCCTACGTTTGTGTGCAGAATCTGTTTCTATGTTTTATTTTACATGAATTTTTTTTTTAAGGAATCCAATGTGTAATGTACTATATGAGGTGCTTGGTTTAAGAACATAATTTGGTGACTGACTTTAGAACACTACCTAGGCTATCCTTTGCAATAGGAATAGATTTGTTAAATCATAATTGTTGTATACCAGCTGGTATGTGTAACGACTTTGAACACGTCAGGCTGGGCATGGTGGCTCACACCTGTAATCCCAGCACTTTGGGAGGCGGAGGCAAGGGGATCACTTGAGACCAGGAGTTTGAGACCAGCCTGGCCAACATGGTGAAACCCCATAAAAGTACAAAAATTATCTGGGTGTGGTGGTGCACCCCTGTAATCCCAGCTACCTGGGAGGCTGAGGCACAAGAATCGCTTGAAACCCGGAGACAGCGATTGCAGTGAGCTGAGATAGTGCTACTGCATTGCAACCTGGGCAACAGAGTGAGATTGTCTCAAAAAAAAAAAAAAAAGTCAAATACTCCCAAATGTACAATAATTAGAGAATTGTTGGGAAAAAAATTCTAAATAAAGTTCTACTTGGTCTTCTTTCGTAAGTTAGTTGTTTTAATATTTTGAGAGAAGACACAGGTTTTACAAAATTAAAATCCGCTTCAGGTTGTGTATTGTAAATAACCAATAGAAGATAATCAAAATGTTTATTGAACGAATGGATACTGTTCTGTCATCAAATACTCTGTTTTTCTGAAAATTACATAACATGACAAAACTCAATTATGACATCAAGATCCTAAGTTTTGACTTTTATCTATTTTCAGTTTTCTAGAACAGTAATTCTTTAGATCAGTAATTTCAGCCTTAGTTTTTATATTCTTAAGAATGCCATGAAATCTCAGCATAAAATAAGCTTTTGTTTAAAGTTTATGAAGATTTGCAGCACCTGAAGGATGAATATGTTTTGGTTCTAAATTACAATATGATGTTGGAGTTTCAGAAATGCAGAGAATCATTGGGTCATGCTATTTTATTTGCTTTATGTAATGGCTTGCTATTTTAGTTGTTCACATTGTGGCTTTGCATTGTTGTAGAGTTGAAGAAGAGATCACATCTGTGCCAGATTCTTATATCACAGGAACTTTTGGTCATGTTGTAAAGGTGATGTTTGTGGTGCAGGCTTTGTTGTGTGAATATTTACAGGAAGTTTTAGTAAGATCTTCCATTGTTTAGAACCCTACATGGCTTAGGTCACCTTCAGTTCACATTTAAACAGGTTTATAATATAAATGTAAGTGCTATAGCGAGGTACAACTACTTTTCTTTAAAGGAAATCATCTGTTTCTATTAAAGTGTGTTGTCTTCTTGGTAGTTCGTGTATGGCTATGGCAGGGTATGTATTATCTCTTTTCTTCCTCTCAGCTGCTCCAGTGCCACAATTAGGCTGAGTATTGCTCAGCTGCAGCTGCTGGGTGATTACTAACCATCCAACTCCTGTCTAAACTCAGAGGCAGATTTAGCAAAAGGGGCTATAGTAACAGTAGAGGGTGAAAGAGAAGAGCCAGTGCTGCCGCCAATATCATTTTCACATGTCTGTATGCCAAGGAATCGTTGGCTACGGCAGCACTACTGTTGTCTTGGAACTAGCAGACTTGATGGCAATATATCCTGGTCTGGATTTGGGCTTACCTTTAAGATCTGAAAGCCCACTCCAGGAAAGACAGAGAATCCTGTAATTTTAGAGTATAGAATAATGTACTGTTGAGGTACTAATGGACTGAGTTACAAGCCTCTGTGCCTCAACTCCTTCCCCCGCCTGCCAAATCTAGGGTAGCAGTGCCCTTCAGTTTCTCTTGTTCAAATGTACAGTAAGCTGTGAGACTGCAGGTTCCTTGTAGCATTATACTTCCTTTTGCTTTAAGCTGTGATTCTTAGAATTGCTCCTTTTACTGTTGTTTAGGGGAAGGGAGTAGAACTGCTGGCATGTAGGTTCTTTGGACTCTACTTTCTCCTAGGAAGTGGAAGGCCTTCAAGAGGAATTAGCTATACATTGCATATCCCCTGTGGCTGCCTGAATATTGCTAGTAGGAACTCTGCGTTCTTTTCCTTTTGTTCTTTCTTTATCCCTAGTGTTTGAGAAGATGGACATCAACAGTTGCAAATACATTATCAGCTATATATGGCAATCCCCAGACTGGAAGATGCCATAGGCAAATTTTGCTGCTTCTAAAATGTTGCTCAGCTTATAAATATGCCAAGCAAATAGCAACAGTTGCATCTTTTCTGTTTTTTTGTTTTGCTTTGTTTTTGAGACAGGATCTCGCTCTGTTGCCCAGAGTGGAGTGCAGTGGTGCAGTCACAGCTCACTGCAGCCTTGACCTCCGGGGCCCAAGGGATCCTCCCACTTTAGCCTCCTGAGTAGCAGGGACTACAGGTGTGCACCACCATGCCTGGCTATTTTTTTTTTTTTTTTTTTGACGGAGTCTGACTCTGTTGCCCAGGCTGGAGTGCAATGGCATGATCTTGGCTCACTGCAACCTCTGCCTCCCAGGTTGAAGTGATTCTCTTGCCTCATCCTCCCGAGTAGCTGGGATTACAGGCATGCACCACCACGCCCAGCTAATTTTTGTATTTTTAGTAGAGACGGGGTTTCACCGTGTTGGCCAGACTGGAGCATGCCTGACTAATTTTTGAACTTTTTGGAGAGATAGGGTCTCACCATGTTGTCCAGGCTGGTCTCAAACTCCTGGGTTCCAGCGATCCACCTGCCTGGGCCTCCCAAAATGCTGGGATTATAGGCCACCACACCCAGCCACAGCAGCGTCTTGTCCTTGCTTTTACCACTACTGTCTACTGAAAATCTGGAGACAATTCCTTTGACTTATCTTGTCTTTGGTAATTTGGGTTTGGCTAATTTGGGATGGAGATTAGAGAGGATTGAGAAAAGTAGTGCTCAAACTTGTATAACCAGAGGAAGGATGAGGTACAGGAAGACCATACATTTGAACATTAAGTACACATCATTATGGCATATACTTAGCAAGACATTGGTGTTATGACCTCTTTGTGCTCCCACAAAACACTTATGCCAAAACACACCTCTCCTTGCATTGTAGTTATTTCTTTCCATGCTTGTCTGTTATTCTTGACCTAGTATTCACTGTGTCAAGGAGCTGTTTTATAGCATCTTTGAGAACAGCCCTTACCACAATAAATACTAAATAAATTCTAAATTGCATGTAGGGATGTG